ATTCTTGGAGTGCACCGAAAAACAGTGCAGTACTTACATTCCATTCTTCTAGGCACCGAACCTTCACTGCTAACAAATACAGCAATGTACTTTCTGTCATCAGCATTATCCTTTGCATCGTCCTGGAGGATGTCGAGGATTTCCAGATTTTTGTGAACCAATCGGCTAATATTATCATAAACAATGACTGGTGGTTTTCCATTCTTTGCTTTGTACACTGCAGAGGCACGTTTAAAAGCCTTTAGAGCTCTCTCCCATTCAGAAGTCTTAGGTGTATCTATAAAAGGAAAATAAGGATCAAAACAGTTGTTATTAAACGATAAAGCGATGATTAAAACTTACCACTAGTTTCGCCTAATATTTTTCGTATTAGCTGTTTCGTAAAAGAAATCCGTTCCTCAAATGCAAAATTAATGGCTTTTCCGAAAGCTTCACCTAATTCATTCAAATTCGCTGGAATATCAACGTATATAACTCCGTGTCCAACTTCACTCGATGCAATCCTTGTCAGAGTAGTTTTCCCAGTTCCATGTTCACCGCAAACCATGTAATAAAACGATTGATCTTCATAGGGTTGAAAAATTCTTTTAAGGCGTTCTACAATTTCAGGTCGAGGAACAAACTTGTCACTTGAAATTCCCGCTCCAGGTCGAGTGCCTTTTTCCACTGTCTCGTTGAGGAGACGTTCGTTACATCTATTTCGATACCAAGCATATAGGAGATCAACTGATATAACTCCAACAATGCCAGTTACAATTATGTTCGCCAATATAGTAGTCTACACATAACGAAAAGGGGTTGAAAACTTGATCGAAAAATGCATAACAAACAACAATAAATCTCATACCAGAAGCCGTTTCACAGTGTATTTTGTGAATTTGTTCAGGTAAGACGATGTAGACTCTTCGGGAGACGTGTGGGGGGAAGGTGAAGAATTTGCATAAGATCTCAAGTTTCTCAACATAAGACTCGGCGACTGAAGGAATAGTACTCGACGGTTAACGAAGTGAGTTGGAAAAATGGTCCCACGAAAGTGTTGAGTTATTTTGGAGGAAGACATTGTTGGTTAAAAGAAGGATAGAATTGACTGATCATTGATTCTTTATTTAAGTTCACGAGGGAAAATTTTTCTCCGAATCTCTGTCGCACAAAACGGTTACACAGCCGGATATGTCTTACGGATAAATCGACGTGATATTTTTTATATCGAATGCTGGCGCGAAAGAATAAGTCATAGTTCGAGGATTTTTAATAAACTTTTTAACATATCTGCATCTTGAATAAATGTGCTTTCTATATAAAACAATGGCAAACACGCAATTCAAAGTCGATACATTAGAAGAACAGAATTCCAAACTTATAGCTGAGATTGCTGAGCTTAGAAAGGAGAATGCGAGGCTGAAGCAGATTATCGAGGAAAATGAAAAGCGCGATGTTAGAGTCGAGGAATTAGAGTAAAAGAATATAGAGCTTGAGACTAGGCTCGCTATATTAGAACAGGAAAAGAAGAAAAAGTATTTCTATTGCAGAGCAATGGCTCTTCGAGCCTACGTAATACGTTTCTATTATCCATAATCGAAGCATGTAATAGTAAACTCGATCAAATAGCCAACCGAAAAAAAAATATGGCAGATGGGTAGGTCAGCTTTTTTCTCTCTACATTAAATAAATAAAATTTGTTAAATAACTATTTATATTTTTTCTAATATACGTGGAAGAGATATTTTATATATTCGAATGTATCTTCTCCAAAATTATATGAATCTAATAGGTTTCCATAATTATCTTCTTCAATATTGATCAATATCGCATTTCTAATTCTTTTACTGAAGATTATATTTTTTTTAATATATACCTTTCTACTTTTACGAGCTCATCAAATGTTATTAATGTGTTGTATATAATTTGTTCACTATATAAATCCCGGATTTATATATATAATTTGTGGCAGATCCCCCAGAACGCAATTTATATGTATAACTAGTGATGCTTGAGATATGCTTCGCAGATTTGTGTTAATTGGTTGTATTAGTATCTTTCGTAGGGAGGATCGATTCATAAAGTAGTGGTTGTATGCATATAAGTTGGTGGAATATGTTTAATGGAGGCGGGGTTATATTTTAATTGTCTGTAAAGCTTGATTTTTTGTTCGCGAGGAAGATGGGATTGTGCAATGTAGGTGACTCGAACAGGGCTTGGCCCAAATAATTTGTTACACAATGTGATTATAATGAATGTTGATA